GACAGCAGACCTGTCCCTCATGTTGATGGGATCACTGTGAGGAGCCCTTGGTTCCAGTGCTCAGCTCATGGCAGACATCGAGTTGGCACTTCAGACCTTGTGGGTCTCTGTTGCCTCCTTCCCCTGGACTCGGGGTTTCTCAGGATGTTCCTGCACTTGCTGAGCTGGTTCTGTCCCTGGCTCAGCTCAAGCTGTGACATCCCATGAACAGTCCCTTCCTAGTCCTCATCACGGGGCAGCATTGGCACAGTGACCGCCTTTTTTCTCTTGAGCTCCCTCCTCACTTGACCCCGCGCTCTCCCTGCTGTCCCCCTGCCCCTGCCACCCACCCTCCCAGGAGAGCCCCGACTGGATGTCTCTCAGCCCAAGCAGCCCAGGGTAGAGGTTGCCAGCCATGTGGCTACAGGCACTTGACCTTGGCCAGTCCAAACTGAGACGGTGAGCTGAGCATGCATTGCACAACAGACAGCAGAACCTCAAAGCAGAAATGCAAGTCAGTGAACAAAATAAAATGGAAATATACGTAAAAATACCTTGTTAATTTTTACATCAATTTCTTGTGAAAGGATCACATTTGGGACACGCTGGGTGAAATGAAGCCAGAGCCAACTTCATGTATTCCAGCTGCGTCATCAGGGAGGCACTAGAGAACAGGAAGCTGTGTGTGACTGGCTTGGCCTGCAGTGGACAGAGCCACCCTAGGCAGGAACCCAGGCCCAAGGGCTCTTCTGTAGGCTGCGACCTCCCGCTTGCTGGGTCTCAGCTCTCCTGGAGGGTCGTCTGTTCTCCACTTGTTCTTTCATTGCTCTCATGTCCACTCCACTCAGGGCTGAGTCCCTCTGGTGTGCCAGGCCGTTAGTAGCATGGAGGAGACCAGCACTGGCCTGAGGTGTGGCCCAAGGTCAAGCTAACACCCAGGGCAGCAAGTCCAGATTCGGTCTTCCTGCCGACCTGACCCACTGCCAGTTCCCAGACTGCAGAGCACCTGTGCTCCAGGCCTGGGCCACACTGCAGCCTGCCCCGTGGGTGGGGTCAGCAGGAAAGGGCCCATTAGCCCTCTGGGGAAGCAGACATGGGGTCTGGTGTGGGGGGACTCAGCTTCCAACTTTCTAGAGTCTTCAACCCACCCGTGCCTGGGTGTCCTCAGCAAAATGCCACCCAGCTCTGCGTTGGAAGCTGCAGGAAGAGGGGCAGGCAGAACCCACGCCACCTGCAGCAGCCCCAGCCGGAAAGCAGAGGCTCCGCTCCTGTCACCAAGTCCCTGTCTGGAGCTCAGAGGGAGGAATGCCAGGATGCGTAGCCTGCGCTGGGCCACCCTGGCTGTCTCCAGGGGACTGCTCAGAGCCCAAGCGGTCAGCAGGGGCTACTGGCTGTCAAATATTCCAGGGCAGGGCCTGAGGGCCACCCCATGAACCTAGTCCCCTTGGGGCGAGCAGCCAGCCTCTAGTCCAGCTCCTTGGCGTCTGACAGTCGGAAGACAAGCCTCTCATTGGCTTATTTTCCTTGATTTTTTCATGTCTTAGTTTTTAAAAATAAGATGCGCACGTGTCTGTGCCTCCCCGTGTGAGAGGAGGGTCGCTTGTGTAGTGTGTTAGAGGCGATTCTGGTGCCCTGGATGCCATGGACTGTGAGTCCCGGGTGGGATGAGTGGCATCCCTCTTAGCCCACGCTGGCCAAGGCAGCCACGCCTCCCGACCAGGCCACCTTCATGCACATTCAGCCTCTGTGGAAACGGACGCTAACTCCATCCATTGTCCTGGGTTTGCAGTCTGTGACCACAGTCGTGCCACGTGGCCATCCTCCTGTTGTCCTTGCCTGGGGAGGGAGAGAACCCCCTATCTCCAGGGGAGTCTGCCTGCGCCCTCCCTTGCCCCACCAGGGTCTCCACTCCCGGCAGGGCGCCAGGTCACCACCAGCAAGGCACACACACCTCCCACCTGCACTTACCCTCCTGCATCACGGCCCAGGGAGACCAGGCCTCCTGCAAAGCACTGTGGCTGATTCGTGGTGTTTGGAATGTGGTATCGACCCAAGTGGCATTTGTCCCTCGTCCCCTCACAGTGTTACGTTTTGCCCTCCACCTTCTGAGGAGTGCAGAGGGTAAGAACCCGCCTGCTTTTCCTTCCTGCCGCTGCAGTAGCCGCTCACCTGGTCTTAGAGGCCAGAACTACAGGAATCTGTTATCTGAGGAGGCCAGAGCCCACGAATCCCAAACGGGATTACCAGGCCATTGCAAAGATGTGGCCCAAGTATGTTCCCTTCAGCAGCCCAGCGATGGGTCTGTCCTGGTCTCCTTCAGCTCCCCAGCTACCCTCGGTCCCTGGCCTGTACCCCGATAGCATTCCGACCCTGCATCTGTCCTCAAGTCCCCTTCCCTCACCCCGGCACTCCTGCCTCCCTCTTACATGGACACTGCCAGGACACCAGCCACCTGGATAATCTGGTCTTCTCCCTACTTATGGTCCCTAATTTGTTCACATCTCCAAAGTCCCCATCACCATGAGACCCAGCGTTCCCACATGCTCTAGGGATTGAGATGTGGGCATCTCTAGGGGCCCATCATCGTGCCTGCCACGATTAGGACAGCCCGAGTGCAGAAGAAACTAAGAAAGAGTGTGATTATTTTTTGTCATTGAACTTGGTTTAGAAATCCAGAAAACACTGGGGTTGTGGCTCAGTGGCAGAGCGCTGAGGGGTCGATCCTCAGCACCACATAAAAATAAGTGAATATTAGGAATAAAAAAAAAAAGGGAATCCAGAAAACCATCTAGTGGAGGAGTTGAAACATGGTCTTCTAAAAGATTAACTTTAAACAGAGACATGAGATGGGAGGGAAAGGGAGAGAAAAGGGAAATTGCATGGAAATGAAGGGAGACCCTCATTGCTATACAAAATTACATATAAGAGGTTGTGAGGGGAATGGGAAAATAAACAAGGAGAGAAATGAATTACAGTAGATGGGGTAGAGAGAGAAGATGGGAGGGAAGGGGAGGGGGGATAGTAGGGGATAGGAAAGGTGGCAGAATACAACAGTTACTAATATGGCATTATGTAAAAATGTGGATGTGTAACCAATGTGATTCTGCAATCTGCATTTGGGGTAAAATTGGGAGTTCATAACCCACTTCAATCTCTTGTATGAAATATGATATGTCAAGAGCTTTGTAATATTGTGAACAACCAATTTTAAAAAAACAACAAAAAAAAAACGTCGTCTTCTCTAGGGAATAGGGAACACGTTTAGGAGTGCATCTTTCGGAAAAGCGTTTCCCTAAGAGGGGGATGAATTGTCTGTGCAGTGAGGGGCCGAGTCACGTGGGGTGGCTCCTTCACAGAAGCTCACGGAGCCGCCTTGCTCGTGGGCCCTGCAGTGCTGGGGACGTTCTGGGTCTGCCGGCCTCACGTGGCCAGAGTGGCTGAGGAGCTGAATTCTCCAACCTTATTTAGCTTTAATTAAGTTACAGTTAGACATAAATAGCCACACGTGGCCATCGGCCCCCGCGCTGGACGGCACCTCCTGGAGCGAGATTTCCTAACCAGGGCTCCCTGGGTAGGCCATAGGCAGCCATGAGGAGATGATGGGTAGTTTTATGTCTGGGGGAGCCCATCTGTAAGAGCTAAGCATGGAGGGCCCTTTGATTTAGGAGCTTGGTTAATGGAACCCAAAATGCTGTTGAACAGGCAGTTACCAAAGCTGGCACACCTCCAGCGAGTTCTAGAACTGCAGCATCCCAGAGTGGGAGAGGATTGGGCTCCCTACCGCCCCAGGGTGGCGGGGCTCCCCTCATCCATCTCTGTGTGAGGCTGAGGGTCCAGCTGCCAGGCTCACTGGGCCCCAGGTGGAAAGGGTGGAGTGCCAGGAGCCAAGCAGCCTGTCCCAGTCCCACCTGCCGCTGCCTCCTCCCAGGAAGACGAGGCCACCCTTAGGCACTTAGAAGTGGTGGCTGAGGCTCACAAACAAAGTGACTTCCCTTGTTCCATAGTTAGAGAGTGGCTGAGCCAGAAGTCGGAATCAACACTGCCCAGATCTGCCATCCCCTTCCCTGTTCTGAACCCCTTGAAGCTCTGCCCTAGTCCCCACTCCTGCCTGCCTTCACCCCGGGTCCACAGAGTCCAGGCGCAGGCTCAGGTTCACCTGTGCCTTGCTGGCCTTTGTTCTGAGGGCGTCCTGGTGACAGGGCAGGGGCAGGTGCCCTGAGAGCCTAGCCCTGGCCCTCTGCTATCAGCTGCAAATGTCCTGCCCCTCTCCCCAGCTCACCCGCTGTCCCTGTGAAGCACTTCCTCACTGTCATAATTTGACTTTATCTTTCCTCCTGTATTTTCTCATAGCATTAGGTTTATTTTTCTAAAATAATACTGTATCTTCTTCCTGTGCCTTGGTCGGACTGGTGTCTGTCCTTACCAGCCCTGGCCGGTTTCAGATGGGCACATACATCTGGGTCAGCCTGGAACTGAAAAAAGTTGTGGATGTTCTTGTCCCAGACGTAGTGAATCCGATCTGGCATGTGGGTCTTGCTCAGACAGGTGTTTACACGCCTTAAAGAAAATCCTTGAGATCGTAGGGGTATGTGGACAGGCTGTCCCCTCCTACAGCATGGGCACAGGACTGTTGGCTCAGGGTGGAGTTCCAGTGACTGCCAGGAGGGCTTCAGAACAGGCTGGCCCTCCCGTTAGCAGGGCACAAGACAGCTGCTGAAACACGACAGCGGCCCAGGCCTTCCCGAGAGAAGCAGCTTCAGTGACCCCACTTAGGGACCAACATGGGGACTGCAGCCCATGGCAGGTTCTAACCAGAACTTAGTGGAAGTGAGACCCGCTGTGGTCTCACGTAAGGGAGCATCAGTTCCCAAGTGGGCACTCGGGTTGGGAGAGGGGCGGGAAGGCTTTATGTTGCGGGCATCAGCTCAGAACTCTGGGACTCGAGCTGTCTTGAATCGCTAACCAGTGTTCCCTTCTCTTTCCTTCCCCATGCTGCTGCTGCCCCGCTGCTGCTGCCTCAGGATTTGCGCAAGCAGGTAGCGCCACTGCTGAAGAGCTTCCAGGGGGAGGTAAGCCTTCACCTTCAGTTCATGCCCCAGCCGCCCTGGGCCTACCGTCTCAGTCTCACTGAGTCGATGCCATTGACAGGACATCTGCCCAGGCAGAGCCTCGTCAGCTGCACTGACCCCACATGGTGCAGACTTTGCACTCATAATGGGACTTTCCCCTCCAGGTCCTCAGTGCGAGTCCTTCTGGAAAGGGAAGCTGCATGTTGATGTGGAAAGGTGTGGTTCAGGGGACAGATGTCCTGCAGGGTTGCACTTCTATGGCCTTAGGAGCCCCCGTACACCTCAAGGGGTCGCCCTGTGCTATGAGCTAGTCTGGGCTGCTGCTGCCCCAGGCCTCCTGCAGGGAATAGATGGGAACAGACAGAACATTCTGGTGCTTTCTGAGGGTTGTAGGGAAGGAATTTCACTGGATCTGAATCTCAGAGGCCAGGCAGGAATCACAGGAGGAAGCCTGCCGGTGTGAGGGAGTATGTTCTAGTGGTTCCTTCCAGAGAATGGCTGAGCTGTCTGGCAGACAACTGCAGCGTGTCACCCGAGACATCCTGTGATGTCTGCTGCCTGAGAACAGGAACGGCGCCCACGGAGAGCACCGAGGGTAGAGGAGGGTGGCGCTTGGCTCCCTCCCGGCCCTGTGCCGACAACAGGTTCCAGGAAGATGCAAGTGGTGACCTGCAGGAGGGGAGGGCCCGAAGGGAGGGCTGTGTTGGGGGGCTGAGGAGTGCTGTCATCCTGCGGTCCCTGGTTCCTCTGTGGGTCGGCCTAGACATTGGTGTCTTTCGTTGACACCGCTTGGGAAGGCTGGAATCCTGGCCCAGGGCTCCAGCATTAGTAGCTAGGCTCTTGTTTGGCAAACCCTCAGCAGTCAGGTGACAGCAGAGGGGAGGGGAGGAGGTGTGTCGGGCAGGCAGGAGGCCAAAGGGGAGATGCCAGGATGCCCCAGGTCCATGGAGAAGAGCGGCCACAGTGCCAGTGAGGAGTTCCCCAGGTGGATCGGTGACCCTCATTTTTATGTACCCATCCTTGTGGAGTGCCCGTGTCCTTGGCTAGTTGAGGCCCAGCAGGCTGCCCAGATCCCAGGCCTCTGATGGCCTTGGATAGTCTTGTGCTTGGTGTCTGTCTCCAGATCCTCACCTGATGAGTGACACTTACCTGACGTGTTCCTGCACTTGATCTTATCTGCTCTCTGTCCCGAAGCTTTTGGGAGGCCCCTGGGTTAGGGTTCTCTGCCTGCAAAGAGCCCAGCAGGCTTCTGTGTCTGCTTGTTTTTCTTTTTGTTTTGAAAATTTTTGAAGCCGCTTAAGGATAGAAGGCTCAGTGCAACTGACACCTGTGCACCTCCACCCAGCTGCCCACCTGTTGGCATCTGCCACGTCTGCTCTCCACCCAGCCTTCTCTAAACATGTGGGAATAAGTCGTGGATAGCGTTGAGGGTTGGAAATGACAGCCCCAAAACAGAGTGGCCTGGGAAGAGGGAGGGAGGAAGAAGGCAGAACACTGATAACATCCATCCTTTCCCAGTGACAGGACAATCCCTGGGAGTGAAGCAGTCATCACCCAGTGACAGGACAATCCCTGGAAAAGCAAGCATTGGTCCTCTCCCAATATGTCCTTTCCCAGAGACATACAGTAGACCCTGGGGGTGGGGGGATAAGTGCTGAACTCTGGATCTTCCCCTCCGTCCTAGCCCAGAAAAACACATTTGCCCAGTAAAAACAAATTTCAGATTCTCACAGCCTGTCTCCTGGGGGCCCAACCTGATATGTTCTGTTAGTCTTGAATGGTTAAGCCACTTTGCAGTGAAGCCTATATAAGCACAGATTCCTCCTGTGACCAGGGGCCATTTTCTATCCAGAAAGTGACGCTGGGCCTCACTGCTGAAAAAAGGCTTAGCTGATCCACGAAGTCTGACCCTTCTGTTTGTGCTTTCCCCATGGTGCCAAGACCATTTTGGTTATTTTTGCTTCCAAGCATGACACTGTGCCCTTAAACCTGTGTGTGTGTGTCCCCTAAACTAAGGAAGCAGGAAGATTGCCCAGCATTGCCACAGTGATCACCACTCACGCCTGGGGACAGAGCAGTGACTCCAGGTTATCCAGCCCTTGTCCAGAATCTCATTTCCCTACTTCCTCAAGCTGCTCTTGGAATTGCCCTGCTCCGTTCCCCCTGGGCGCAATCGGTTCCCACGCTGCATTTGGGTTTGGCAGCGCGCACACGTCTATTCTCCCCCACCCAATATCACCTTTTTTATCTATTAAATTGATGTTTTTAAGGGGGGAGAATCAAGGCCAGTTTTTGTAGATTGTCCTGCATTCTTGGTGGGCTTGGCTTTGGTCCTGTCAGATTGGAAATGCCTTGGGCTGGGCAGAGCCTGCATGTGTGAGGCCCTGGGTTCGCTCCTTAGCACCCTCCAGGCCCCACAGGATGAAGGCAATGCCTGAGAGCGGATGGCTTGCCACTAGCCCACTTTTAAAAGGCACTTTGAAAAGGAAATTTTTTAGCACCATTAATATTTATCAAACCTCTGGTAATTACTATGTGTTTTAAAATAAGTGTTATTGTGTATAGTTAAGGCATACAACATGATGTCACGGGATACGTGCAGATCTTAAAGTGGTCACTATGATGAAGCAAATTAACATACCCACTATGGCTCACATCTATTCCTTTATTTGCGGCAAGAGCAACTAAAATCACATTCAGCAGGAATCTGTGACACGGTCCAACTACCAGTCCCCACCACCCCGCCATGCCCCACCGCACCCTTGCAGCCAGCTCTGCACACCTGCTCTTCCCAGTACCTGTGGCTCTGCACCCTGGCCTCACCTCCCCATCTCCTCTTCCTCCCATGTGCTCTGTGGATGTTAAGTGAGCTAACAGAAATGTTAGTGACTTTCTCATAGTTACTTCAGGCGCAGGAGTGCTGCTCCTGCTGTGGAAGGTGGGTTCGCTGTGGGTTCACACAGAGGACTCTGCAGGAGGCCCCGGGAGTGGTGCAGGTGGTCTCCCTCTGCCAGAGGCCGGGGCCCAGCGAGCCTCTCATTGGAGGCTCCCTCTCGACGCCTTCCTTGGTTTCTGCCAAACGTGGCTTTGGTTCCTGCCTTTTTCTTTGAGCTTGTCCCAGGGCACTTCAGCTCGTGCAATAAATGCATGAAATAGAAAGGGCCTAAGAGAACGTGCACTAGTGTAGAAAATGTTCTTTGCCCAGAATTTGCTTTATTGCCGTTTGATTTTGATTCTGTCAAGCAGAGATGGAGCCAGGACCTGGGCTGCTGAGCCCGCACTCTGCCCTGAGCACGAGCTGGCCCTGCTCCAGAATTTGTATAGGTTGTCTCCTCCCCAAGGCCCCCCTAAAAGAGAACACAGAGCCAGCAGGAGCCACAGAGGAGGTTTGCAGACAGCCAGGCACCCTGACTCCAGGGTCCATGGCACTGAGTTTCCAGAAGGGTGTCCATATGTAGAGTTGACCTGCCCTGTTGGCTGGGGCAGCCACTTACCTGCTAGACTCCTCCCGGCTCCCCCGCTCTGCCTCACCTGGGACCCGCATCCCTTCTCCTCACCCCTAGCCATGGTGGGCTCCCTCTGCCACATGGATGGTGGCACTGTTGATGAGGTGAAAGGTGCCGTGTGCCCAGGAATGCCTTGTAAGAATCCTGTAAATAGCTGTTGTCCTTGATTGAAAAGTTTGAGATTTTCTAATCATAACAATTATATATAATTATTATAGCAAAGTCATCAAAGCTAACTCACACTGAAATTAGATTGATTGATTGATTGCCATACCTAATTTTCTGCTTTTTGATCCCAGCCGATTGATGGGGGGCAGGTGTTAACCTACATGTTGAATACAGTTGAAAGCATGTCCAAGCCTAAGGACGGCTTAAACCAGCCCTCAGGTAAATACACCCTCTAAGAAAATGCGGGGTCTCTTGAACTGCTCCCCTTCTCCTCTCCCTGGGGAGGGTCCTGGTTTGGACAGTTGGGGTGGGGAGCTGGCTGTGGCAGCCCTAGCAGGGGACCGGGACACTTGGGCCAGCTGTCCTGAGAGATGAAAACCTTCCTGGGCAGTAACCCAAGTGCTTATGTCAAAAGGAGTGAGAGACTGAGAAGTCCTCCCCCCACAGCAAGTTGAGAAAAGTGCCGCAGAATAATTCCAACAGGAATAAGGAAATGACAATATCATTAATTAAAACTAATGATATTAATAATAAGGATTACATATCAATAATAATTAAATTCCATTAATTATAATGAACAATATTAAGTAAATACATGGGTATTAATAGTAATAGATATAAGAACTGAAATGCATGAAATAGAAAGGACCTAAGAGAACATGCACATCCGGGCGCTCGGGCAGCCTCCACCCCACCCCACCCTACCCCACCAAGCTTTGGGGACAAGGTCGCAGCTGAGCAGGTGGGAGAGGTGACGAGAGAATGCTAGAAGCAGCTTTATTCCAATGACTGGAGAGGCAGTGGGAACTGGATGGCCTCGCAGCTCCTCCAGAAGCGTCCCGCAGTCAGATGGCTCCCTGGGAGAGTTCTCGTGGTCTTCAGGGAGCACACAATTCTGATCCTTTGCATGCTCCTTTAGGAAGCATCTTATAGGCTTATGTGACTTCAGTGCCAAAACCAGACGAGAACAGTGCAAGAAAAATAAAATTCAGCCTTATTTATGAGTGCACACGAGGGGCCTTAGAAAGGCCAGTGAGTCCACCAACTCCGTCCATCACAGGATACTGTTTGGTTTAATATTAAAAAAAAAAAAAATGTAGCCATGTCAGTTAATATCATTAACAGGTTAAAAGAGAAAAATTGTCATTTCAATAGTTACAGGAAAAGAACTTGATAAAATCCATCCCTGATAAAAACCACCAGCAAACTAGGAATAGAGGGAAACTTCTTTAACCTGGTAAAAGGTATTGCTGAAACACATCCTTCAGTCACCAGACCCCGTGGTGTTGAAAACATTTTCTTTGCTACCAGGATCAGGACAAGAAT